TCCTAGCGTGACAACAGTCTCTTATACGGATGCACCGATACTAATACTTGTATCGGTGCCGATACCGAGTATTTGGGTGAGTACTCCTACTCACACAAATGCTTCCGATACCGGAACTTCTGTTATCCGGAAGCTAGGCGGCGAGGCATTACCTGCCCCCCGGCTTCCTGATTGACCAGAAAACCGGCTCCATGTTTCCTAATCACCTGGTGTCATTACACGCCGCCCAGCTTCCAGGCTAATCAGGAAGCTGGGCGGCAAGTCATTACCCGCCCCCCGGCTTCCTGATTGACCAGAAAGCCGTCTCCATGCTTCCTCGTCACCTGGTGTCATTACACGCCACTCGGCTTCCTAATGGGACTTCCGGTATCGGAGAGTCCCGGGAATAAAATATCGGTGCATCCATAGTCTCTTACTGTACTATAACCATAGACAAGCAATGCCATCACCCTAGGCTACTCTCTTGGTTTGGACTACAGACACAGCCTCCTCTGTTGATCTCCACTACATGGGGAGTCGAGGCATATGTAGTTTTTAAAATGTATCTTGGAGGGCAGTTAAGATTGTCATTTCAGTTCAATTCAAAGGACGTTACAATAGTAAATAGTGTAATTTACTCCTATAAGCCAAAATGCACCTTAAGCCTGTAAACCCTTCTTTAACATGCGGGGCTAAGCGCCGCAATGAGGAGAGATCCCGACAATACTGTCAGGATCCTCCCCAATGATCTTAGTCACTGTCACAAATATATCTTGAGTGAAAATCACATCAGTTTGCACAGTGGTGAACAACTTTATAGCTCATCACTGCAGAGTTGAGTCTATCTGATGTCCCACCAATTATTCTTCTACCTGGTGTGGGCAGGGAAACCTAATAATATATAGACTTTTACATATGTACGAGTGTCCTAAATGTGTGTAGGATGCGTGGTCTTTTAAATGTTTTTTTTTTTTTTTACAATTTAATACCTAGAGAATGAATGTTGTTTTGAAGACCCCTGATGCCTTCTCATCTTTCTTCAGCCCATGCAGATCAGGGACCAAGAGTTACCAATCTTCTTCTTATGCAACAGCTGCAGTCGGGATCCATAGGGGATTTTTGCCAAGTGAGCACCAAGATCACCTGAGTGACAAAAACCACATAGGGAGGACACTGCTTGCATAATAGATCTAATATTCAGAGTGGGGTGTTTGGCAGGAACATATTAGTAGATATAAATTGGCAAATACATTGTAGCATTAGAACAGAGGAAACCATTTGTTCTGTCTAGTGATCTGTCTGATTATTAAAGTGACAAATTCCTCGCTGTCATTTTTATCCATCCTCATTCATTCCTCAATCTATCCAAACACTTTGGCTGCAATTCAAAACTGTCAGATTAGATGTTTATTGACAAGATTTTTTTTACAAATTGATGATGCTGACAATGTTCCAGCAACAATGCAGGGGGAAATACTTTTTTTTTATGTTCAGGTGATGTATTCTGTCAAGACTTTTTTTGAAAAGATTTAAAGATCTCCAGGAATTTGGAAAGTTAACCCTTGCAGTGGGGCTGCCTACGCACTGCAGCAGTTAACTGCTTATTTTTCTCTAGTGGCGACAATAAAGAAGATATACTCACCCCCTCCGCTCCAGCTGCGCTATGTCGCTTTGTTTCTTTATGTCTAATACACTGTATTAAACACGATGACATTCCGCATGCTTACGACACGGAGTCCAAGGGGAGAAGAGGCTACAGGGACGAACAGCCAGACGGGACCAAGGATCAGTTAAGTATATCTTCTTTATTTTTGCTCCCTAGACAAAACGAGCAGTTAACCCTTGCAATGCGGGGTTAGTCCCACTGCAAGGGTTAACTAATCACATTCCTGCAAGTCTATTCACAGAAGGGTGAAGAGTTTGGAGAAGGAAGGAGAAGTGAACAATCTAGGACAACATAGCTGAACTGGAAAGTGAGCTGAATTGGAGAATTTTTCCAAATCAGCTATGTTGTCCTAGATTGTTCACTTCTCCTGTCTTCTCCAAACCCTTCACCCTTTTGTGAATAAGCATGCTAGAGTTTCTCTAAGTAGGAATTTCTATGGAGTTCACATTGTGTTGTAACCAGTGCTGAACCTGTAGCAGTGTACTGACACGTAAGATAGCAGCTCAGAAGCATGGACAGGATCGTTTATGGCAGTATTGGCATACTGTGAGGTTAAAGCTCTGCACAAAGTAATTATCTGTCACATTGATTGTGCTCGTTTGTAACAACAATAAAGAATTGGCTCCTCCTAGTGGTGATTTAATTTGCTGCTCTACACATCCTATTCATTTTAAACGGACACTGTCACTATGCCTAGTTTACAATAGTCAGTACATAAGTAAGTACAGTTGGTTGGTTGGCCGTAGAAGAAACTTGAAATGGTTGTCTTTTTTTATTTTTTTTTACACACCGTTCCTTATGCTAACTTCTGTAGACATTTGGAAAAGAGAATGATTAAAATAATAATAATAAACCCTATTTTATATAGCACCTTTTAAAGAGAAACAAAATTTAGAACAAATTTACACAAGATAAGCATAAAAGGAACAATTAGGTGAAGGATCATTTGCAGTTTTGATTTCAAAGAGAAAAGAAGGTGACTCTAGTCTCCGATGTTCTTGGGAAGAGAATTCCATAGTTTTGGGGCATAGCAGAATAATGCCCTATCTCCCATAGAGTGTAGATGAGTTTGAGACACACAGAGCACCAGAATTAAAGGAGTGAAGGTTGAGGGCTTGTTCACGCCATATACAATGCATTTCAGCACCGTTAGCTGCAGGAATGCACTGTATCGCATAGTAAACTCCCCCCTGCGTTCTGGTGTGGGAGGCGGTATGGCGGTGTTTTGAAGTCAATCAAACCACAGCCACGCCCCCCCACCCGCATTGCGATCGCCTGCACCAGAACGCATGGCACATCAATGCCTGCGTTTCCCGTCCAGTGCCATCTCAAAATATAGTGCATGCAGCATTTTTCTAGTGCAGGTGATCTCACTGCGGGCAGGGGGCATGACTGTGGTGCCCTTGACTTCAGTGCACCACCATGCTCCCTCCCGCTCCATAACCCAAGGGGGAGTTTACTATGGAATACAGTACTTTTCAGCAGCTAACTGCACTGAAATGCACTGCATATGGTGTGAACAAGCCCTAAGGATGGAAGGGGGGAGGGTAATGGAAACTTCTGACACGTAATGGGGTGCCAAGCTGTGCAGAGCCTTGTAGGTAGGCCTGAAGATTTTGCTGTCATTGTGAAACCTGACAGCCATTGCAAGGACTTGAGGATTGGAGTAATATGATTGCTTGCACTAGACCTAGTCCGGATTCTGACTGCCAAATTGTGGACGTACTGCAGTCTATACAGTGTTTTTAGTTCCCCCAGCAAGTAGTTATAATAGTCAAGATATTTTGACCTGCTTTGTAGGCACAGTGTGTTGTAACGTAGGGTCTAACAATATTTCTTAAGATGTTCTGGCCATCTCATATGTATGGCCATAGCCCAATTTTTATTGGGCAGTGATTGCATTATAATTTTACAGACAGACGAGTCTAATCTTGGGAATAAGATGCTGAAGACAAAGCCTGGGACAGCAGAGGCTGCCAGCAGCAAGAATAAATTAGTGGGAGGAAAAAAAACCTCCCCAAATCACATGAGCAACAAAAGGCATTGTAGAGTGGGTTTACTGTATGTGAAGTCATCAAAGTTATGAGCATAATAATTTGTAGGCAACATTTTAAAAGCCTTTATTGCTCATCAATTTGGACCTAGAAGTATTGCTCTCACTTGGCGGCGATATGTAACGTGTGGCACAATTGTCGTTTTTGTACATGGGAAACATGCGTCAGGGGTGTGGATGTTAACAGTGGCGGACCTAAGGAAAAAAATGGCAATGATGCAAGATTTTATCTTGAGCCCACCTCGCCCCCCCACCTCCCAACCCTCCTGGTGGTCTCTTCACCAGAGGAGCTTACACTCTAATGTTCCCCCCAGTTTCACACTATTATTATACATTTATTTAGCTCTGACATATACCATAGTGCTGTACAGAGAACACTGAGCCAGTCACACTAGTTTCTGTACAGAGGAGCTTACACTGTAATGCAGCATGGCACCGGCTGTAGGGGGACTACAAATCCCATCAATGCAGAACAGTATATGAACTGGACTTAGTAACGCACTGGACTCTGGACCCACCTGAGGCCCCACACTGCCCACCTGAGAGTGACCCTGCAGAGCCCATCTGAGACTCTCTATGGTGGGCTCTGCAGGGTCTCAGTTGGGCTGGTCGGGGTCCCTTTCCCTGCACACGCAGCTCCTCTTACCTGCCGCTACTGGGCCCGGGCCTCTTCCGCCATACCGGCACTGCCTGGCCCCGGACCTCCTCCGCCGCTTGACCGGCGCTGCTAATGGCACCCCAGTCGTGCCGGGCAGATCGTGGGGTTTCCCGCCGTGACACGATAAAACAGCCGTGCGCCGTGTATTGCAAAAAAGGGTGCGTTTTTTCTGTGATTGCACAAAATCAATGGGGCTGCACAGCAATCGTTGCCTGCATTGTGCAGGACCGCCTGATCCCGGATCGCGGAGGTCTGCACCGGGCCTTAACTTAAAAGTTATTTTTTCAAATAGTTAATTGTAATCTTCCAAAAATAAAGTAGACTTTGTCGTCGTACCAAAGAGAAAGGTAGGAGCATACTATATTTCTGACACATTAACAGTTATTTTTCTGTACTTGTAGCGTGTTTAAAGGAATGCAATATGGGAAAATGTAAGGGAATTCCGGATATGTACTAAATATGTTGGGGTTTTTTTGTTGTTGTTTTCTTGGTGCCTTGACATATATGCTTTTATTAAAGTGTTTACTTCATTAATCCAATCAAGGAAAAATCCTGTTTTTTTTTTCTTTCTCTAAATGTTATTTCCCTTTTACATGATATTATTGGAAATTAACTATATATAAATCATTTTGTATTTCAGGATACTGAAGATTATGTAGTTGAAGAAGAAAAGCCTATGAGTCAGGCAGCAGAACCAGCCCAGGAATGTGACGATAATGAAGTGTTTGGTATGTATCAGTCGCAAACAAGAAGTAACTTGTAGTGTTTGTAGAAGTGAAGCTAAGCTGTAAAAATACACTAATGTAAAATTTGTAGCAGCTTTTTCCCTTCCGTGCTGTGGCAGGTTCCATCTGGCATTGAAGAAATACTTCAAGTTTGTAAGCTGCAGGATTTATTCATACAGTAATGATCCTGTCAAACAAAATGATGACTTTTTTTTCCCTTCAAAACTATCTTTTATTGAAAATTCATGCAGACACAGTGGGGTAACAATGAAGATTTAAAAAAAAACACTACAACAAAGACAGACAAAACAACGCCTACATGTGTGCTGCACTATTATCTTAATGTTGTACTGTAATGGGTAGGGCTTGATATTGATGGGTAATTGTAGAATCCATTTCTACCAAAATGATAATTTTTGCTGTCCGCCGACATCTTGCCTGAAATACTTAAACACAGTTGATGCAGAAGTAAAGTGATCTTGATTAAAAATTGCTGA